GGCTGCCTTTCCCATGAGGGGATCTTATTTGTCGCAGTGGGTGCTTAGTAGCATTACCCTTCTGAATGGCCAACAGGGTTCCCCACTGTTTCACAACCATTTGCAGAACAGTGTCAGTCTCTGGGGCCCTTCATGTTTTTCTCCTCTGGTACAACAAGACAAATGCACTGAAATTGTGCCAAGATTTCTCTTCAACCCTAGCATGAGATAAAGCGGATTTACAGGCAAAGAACTCCCTTGAACAGCAGCCAAAAAAGCAGATAACTTTTAAATAGCACAATGTGGTAGAAGAAACTGCCGTGTGGCAGTCTACTGTGGAGAAAAATAGCAACTATTTACAGTACATGTTGGCAAACTATCTATGTATAAGCTCTAGAAAAGGTGAAGAGTTACCATACTGTTTCTGGGTTTCCTTACACTGCTAACACCGAACTGAATGTTACAAATAGAAGTTTACATTTTTAGTGTTTATCATTAACCACGTTCAATTGATTTACAACAATCAACTATCTAATTCAACTTGAATGGAAATGAATTCAAAGAATACATTAAAAGGAACATATTATGATAAATTACCTAATATTTTATAGATCTACTACACCTTTCACTTTAAGAGATAAATAACAGGTAATTGCTTTCTTTTACTGAAGCTCTCTTTTCTTTTTCTATATAAAATGATTCATCCTCAGATTTCTCTAAATAGTGAATTCTCAATGTTCTCAAAGTATAATTAGATTTCAAAAATTCCTTTAAAAAACATGTTTTCTGGAACATTTCTATTGAGTCAAATGCAGTTTGTTACGCCAAGATTCTCAAGTCATTAACATAGGAGATTCAATGGTGTTATGAGGTTTAATTAATTTCCAAAATCACAATACACAGATTTTCATTATATTTTTTTGTTTGTTTTGGCCATGTGGCTTGTGGGATCTCAGTTCCTCAACCAGGGATTGAAACTGGGACTCTGGCAGGGAAAGCTCAAGTTCTAATCATGGGACCTCCAAGGAATTTCCAAGACACTGATTTTTAAACATACATAATATGAAGAGACAAAATGTCTAGTAGCCATGGAAATAGCTATGTCAACCGTAACAGAGCCCATAGGAGAAAAATGCTTTAGTCTGAAGATCAGTAATAATCCAGATGCAAAAGAATTGTTGACTCTGACAGGGTAGGAAAAATCCATCAAGATCTCTCATCTTCCCTAGTCCTCATTTTTATTCACCTACAATGTTCTGATAGTTAATTTGTTGCTCAAGTACCTTAATACCAGGAAAGAAAGTTCACTGATTTAGGGGAGGGGGGACTAGTTCTTATTATATTGATAAACTGTTTAACAAACTTATTTGATGAGTTCTCCACATATGGATAATGTCAAGTTACTGGACCCAGACTGTTGGGGACAAAGTCCTGTAAGTCCAACATGGTGCTGGTCAGAAGACTTTAGATCAGTGGTTCTCAAACCTTTCCACAACATGGCACGTTCGGAAAATGATAATACATATAAGCCACACTGATGTGAACTGGAAGGGACTCTATTAAGAGTCAATATGGGGCTTGGTGAAGAAAAATTACCAAATTATATATATATTGCATATTTACAATAAGGAAAAATTAGTAGAGATATTAGTATAACTTTTATTTATTTATTTTTAATTAATTTATTTATTTTTGGCTGCATTGGGTCTTCGTTGCTGCACGTGGGTTTTCTCTAGACGTGGCTAGCAAGGGTCGCTCTCTAGTCACTGTGTGCAGGCTTCTCATTGTGGCTTACTCTTGCGGAGCATGGGCTCAGTAGCCTGTGGCATATGGGATCCTCCCAGACCAAGGGTCGAACCTGTGTCCCCTGCATTGGCAGGCGAATTCCTATCCACTGCACCACCAGGGAAGTCCCTAGTATAACTTTTAAATGAAAAGTTGCATTTGTTTCTGTAAATATTTTACACACACACACACACACACACACACACATATACTTCTGATTTGCAGCTGGAAACTGCTATATGTAATTCCTGATCTAAACTTTTCATATTCTTCATACCTTCATCAGCAACCGTGTTTACATAAGAAAAGGCAGCAAACAATAGATGATACTTTTTCTTTAATGAATGAAAACTGCTTTTTTGCTCGTAATCAGATAATCTGATCTTTAATATTGCAAAATTTTACTTCATAGGTTTATAATTTTTAAGCATTAAAACTCTCAACTTTCTTTGACAAATGTAACATTGAAATAATTTACAATAATGAATATTTAATCCTTTAAAATGTTTTCATATTATTTCAAAATTTTAATGAAGTTTTTCTTCTAGAATAAAGATACTGCTCTACTCATCTCACTAATTTTTTAGGATTCCAATTCTACCACTTGCTAAACATCAGTGAGTGATCATTTTTTCCTTTGAATTCATTACTGTTGGCAGTGTACATTACAATATTTCTTGTGGTCCTTCCAATCTTGGACCAGGCTCATTAAGATGGTCAAAATTTGGTTAATATATTTCTTAAGCTAACAAGCCAACCTTCAAATTTACACAGAATTATTTTATACTCACACTTAACACCCAAAATTTCAATTCTTCTTTTAGCTCAGAAACTCTTGGTGAGAATATTAAAACTTTACTCTTCTGGCAACTTTCAAGGGTACAATACAGTGTGGATAACTATAATCATCATACTGTATATCACATCTCCAGAACTTACTGATAACTGAAAATTTATACCTTTTGACCAATAGCCTCCCACTTTCCAGGGTCTTCAGTCTTTCAGCCCCTGGAAATCATCATTCTACTCTGTTTCTATGAGTTCTAATGCTTTCAGGTTGCACTTATAAGTGAGAGCATATCATATTTGTCTTTGTCTGACATTCTACTTAACGCCCTCAACGTCCATCCATTTTGGCATAAATGGCAGGAGTCCTTTCTTTTTTATGGCTGAATAATCTTCCATTGTGCATAGATACACATGTTCTTTATCTGTTTGTCAGTGGACATTTCAGTTGTTTTCATGTCATAGTTACTGTGAATTATGGTCCGCAGTATTGCTTTGAAAGTCATCTCTCAATGTTATGCCTAGAACCTGTCTGTCCAGTCTTAGCACCAATTCTCTAAATCTCTAATTCCCTGCTAACTAGAATAGATTTTTTTTGTCTGCAATGGAACTTCAAATGCAATGTAATTGAAACCAGAAGTGATCATTGACCTTAGAAGCGCAAAGATATAAATCTTGAACTGGCTACTTGACTTGACTGAATTTGAAAATGGCAGATTGGCTTACTTTGAGAGGACGTCTTATTGGGAGTCACTTGTGGTAGCCTAGAAAAAAGTACCTATTGGAGACAGTTTTGACAGACCAAGGGGCTACTGCTATAGAACAGTGTGGTTGACAAAAGGGCTGCAAGGGATGTGGAGTGGGTGAATTACTTCTAAATATATTCAGTGATTCTGAGACAGAAAATGACAATTTTAAGATCCCAGTAGAAGCCATAGCTAGAGAACCAAAGAGTGCTTAAGACAGACGCACAATGATATTTTCTCTCTTACAACCATTGTCTGGATTGCGGTTTATGAATGTGCTGAATTCAGAGCCTCACTAGGCTTCTGAGAAGGCCTAGAAGAAATGACCAACTCAGTAGCAGTGAGCAACCCTAATGTTTAGATTATGCTCTCTAAATTTCATTTTCCTGGTTCATTATCTAATGAACCAAGGCAGAAAATATTTCCAAACTACACATAAGATAAATAACTTGTATCTAGAATATATGGGCTTCCCTGGTGGCTCAGTGGTAAAAGAATCTGCCTGCAATGCTGGACACAAAGGTTCAATCTCTGGGTCAGGAAGATCCCCTGGAGAAGGAAATGGCAGCCCACTCTAGTATTCTTGCCTGGGAAATCCCATGGACAGAGGAGCCTGGCAAGCTACAGCCCATGGGGTTGCAAAAGAGTCAGATACGACTTAGCAACTAAACAACAGCAACCTCCAGAATATATAGTTTATTCTTACCACTCAATAATAAGACAAACAGCCCAGTTAAAAGTACAAAAATATTTGGACAGATACTTCACAAAAGAAGATACTGAAATGGTTAACAAGTATGGAGAATCAGCTCATCATGATTAGTCATAAAGGAAATGCAAATTAAAACCAGAAGGAGATAATACTACATAACCAAACGGAAGACTAAAAGTAAAAGGCTTGACAATACCAAGTGTTTTAGGGCATAAAGCAAATGGATCTCTGACTCATTGCTGATGGAAATACAAATATAGTATAGTTCCTTTAAAAAACAGTTTGGCAAGTTTTGGTAACATCAAACATACACATGGCATAAGACCCAGAATTTATACTCTTGGGTATTTTCCCAAGGAAGAAGAAACATATGTTCACACAAGAACCTGTGTATAACTGTTTAGAGCATATTTATTTATAATAGTCCAAAACTGGAAAGAACCCAAATGTCCATCAGCAAGCAAATGGATGTGGTCCATCCATGCAGTGCAATACTACTCAGCAACAGAAACAAACTGCGGATACATGCAACACCATGGACAAATCTCAAAAGCATTTGCTGAATTAAAGAAGCCAGACTGAAATGGTAGTGCTTTGTGTGGTTCCATATATGTTTATAAAAATGCAAATTAAAGGAAGATAAAACAGGGAAGTGGGATGGAGAAAGAGATTTTACTTTTAAGGAGCATGAAGGAAATTTGGGATGATGATGGGAGAGATTTTTTTTTGCTAAGGTCAATCAAAGGGCATTTGGAAGTCACCTCGCAGAGACTCTGACCGAGGCGCTTCACTGGGAGAACGCACCGGCACCTAGGAGTGTGTGAATCTATAGCCTGTTCTCTGGACAGAAGCGGAGTTGGCTCTGCTTCCTGATTTCGTTGTCAATGGGGCTGGCTCTCAACAACTAGAAGGGGAAGATGCTCAATGTCTATCCTGCCTGCAAAGCCTGGGAGTCAGACACCGAGGATGCACATGCCTTCTCAGGTACCTACCTCTAAACGCGGTTGGGCTATGGGGCAGCCAAGCTGGCGTTTCCACTGCCCAGGCGCAAGCGGGCGCTGACTGCGCAGGTGCGGCTCCCTGTCGCCTAGCAACCAGTCACAACAGCGAACCAGCAGGCGCGCGCTGGCGGCGGTTGGTACTGTTCGCCAGAACAGAGGAGCCGTTGCCCGGCTGGATCTCCCTGCAGGTAAAGGCGATTGGGCTGCTGCACCGCTATCCTGGGGGTTTGGAGAGGCCCAGGGAAAGACTTGGGGAAAGAGCAAGTGCCCCGCGTGTAGGAGCATCCGGGGCAACTAAGGGAAGACCTTGGAAGGATCCCTGGGTCCCTGCCCTATGCCCGCAGAATTAGACTGGGGTCCCAGTGAATTTCATAAGCGTGCCAACAGCGTCCTATTCAACAGGTGACAAAACTGAGGTCCAGATCGGGTATTTGAGGGTCTAAGATTCCGTTACTTGACTCTGAGCAATTAAAAAAGTGGGTCCTCTGTTGTTCTACACCTTCTCAAAAAAAAAAAAAAAAAAAAAAAAATCTCGTTAGAAAACGTTTAAGATAGCATAAGGCTGAAAGTTCTCTAAGAAGATCAGTAAATTCGTGGAAAAAGGATTCCAATAATCAAGACTATGAACATTCAAAACATTTGTTTTCATGTCCAATGCTGTGAGGTTCATACCTTTTAGCCCTGTTATTTTATGCTAGGGATTTAAACTAAAGAAACAATTTTAGGTGAGGATGAAAATTTTACCTCTAAGAATGTTCATTTGCAGTCTGCACATAATTTCAAAAAGTTGAAAACAAATGCTCAACAATTAGGGACTGGCTGGATGATGGGCATTAAAATATTGTTTTAAATGGCATGCTGATCCAGTGATGACTGAAGCAATAAATGGAGACTGAGATTTCAAGAACTTGTCTGTTAGTTTGAGAATTTAGAAAGAAAATGCCCCCAGGAAGCTAAGTTGAGAATTGCAGATACAAATCCAAGTAGGAAAGTAAAATCACTATAGAAAATACACACCAAAATAAGGCATATCAAAATAGTGCTGATCTTCCTGAGCTTATTTCTGAGTGATTTTTTAAAAAATTCCATTTGCCCTTCCTTGTTTTTCAAATTCTCTGTGATGAAATGTGATACCTGTATAAGTAAACAGTAGACATGGAATTATGAGCTTAAAAGGATAAGTTTTATGTGTTATGTATTTTAGCGCAATAAAAATCAATGGGGAAGTGGTAAAATAGTCAGGAAAAACAGGTTTAGGTTGCTTCAAAAATCAAAGGGATTTATTTTCTTAATTTGACATCTCTGTAGCTTTAAGAATAAAACAAGGTAATTTAGTTGCATCAAGGTGATTTGAAGTGAAATGTTTAATTTACAAATTAAAAAAAAGCACACAAAACCTGAAAGTCATCTTTTAGGTTCACTGCCCTGGACTCTGTCAGCTGTGTATTTTCTCCTCTATTAACTATTATACCCAAAATGGTTAAAAAAAAAAAAAAAGAAATGCTTCCTACTTAACCATGCTGCTGAGGACAAGTTCTCTCCCTGTAATCCTGTGTGTTTAGGCTACTACAGCCTCTGTATTTCTCAGTATGCAGTTACTCAAATTCACTCTCCTGAGATGGGAAACATAAGTTCCCAAGTGAAAAATCAGATGACATCAAGTAACTTTCTACAGGTGTAATTTAATTGCTTCTTGAGGAATTCTTTTGTAAAGCCAAGACTGCTATATGTTGGAATTGGTTATAAAGAGCTATGGAAACTCTTTTTCCTAAAGGAATCATAGGAAAGATTTTCATCTGTCCGGAATAGTCTATGTGCCTGCCTGAAACATTATAAGCAGAAGTCTAGGATCTGTGTGGTTTTCAACTATCTGAGAAAGATGTCAGAGATCTGAAAAAAACTACTGGTCCTAAGATATGAAAAGAAAATTCAAAAGTTAATATTGTATTTTATTAATATTAGATTTGAAAATAAAATAATTTTCTCATCTTGCAACAATTTCCAGGTATACAAACAGATGAGTCATTTCATATGCAAGTTTTCAAAACTTTTAATGATGAAAATTATATTCAGTGAGGGATATGGGTGTATTTTAATGTTTTAACATATTAGATATAGCGTGAGGTAGTGCCTCCCAGCATAGGCTTCCCCAGGGCCTCAAAGATCTTGAAATGAATGTGACTGGAAGGTAGGGACCTGGAATAGTTGTCTTTCAGAAGTCACTATGAATTTCTATGAACATTTGACTTTAAAACGTATGTGATCAATCATGTTCCGTGTCTTTAGTACTTGGAGTTGCTTCTGTCCCTTGATGAGCCATCTGAACTAACCCTGACATTGTAGAATCTCTCCAAAGATATCCTACTTCCCAGAATTTCTCTTGAGACTATAGTAATTTCCTTGAGACTAGATTACAGTGGTTCCCAACCTTTTTGGCACCAGGGACGGGTTTTATGGAAGCCAGGACAGGGTAGGGGGAACAGTTTCGGGATGATTCAAGTGTGTTAACATTTATTGTGCACTTTACTTCTATTATTATTACATCAGCTCCACCTCAGATCATCAGGCATCAGATCCCAGAGGTTGGAGACCACTGGACTAGAATATACTGTCTGAAATTGTCCTAATAGCAAGCATAACCCCACAAACTCTCATTGGAGAAATGGGTTACTTTAACAGTCACCAGCATCTTGGAAAGTTTTTTGTACCCAGGTGGAGTTACTCCTCTGTGGTATATCAAGTATGTATGCTGCTGCTGCTGCTAAGTCGCTTCAGTCGTGTCCGACTCTGTGCGACCCCATTGATGACAGCCCACCAGGCTCCGCCGTCCCTGGGATTCTCCAGGCAAGAACACTGGAGTGAGTTGCCATTTCCTTCTCCAATGCATGAAAGTGAAAAGTGAAAGTGAAGTTGCTCAGTCATGTCCTACTCTTAGTGACCCCATGGACAGCAGCCTACCAGGCTCCTCTGTCCATGGGATTTTCCAGGCAAGAGTACTGGAGTGGGGTGCCATTGCTTTCTCCATCAAGTATGTATACTGTTCCATTAATTTTTTTTCTTCACAAGACTGGACATAAAAGGGCAGGTGGGAAAGGTTCTTTGCAAGGAGTAACCCCAATTTCCCTAGAATTCATCTTTTCAGACTCTCAATTACTTTTTAAAATTGAGATATAGAATATATTAGAGAAAACATTTTGTTATCTAGGAAAATGACACAAATGTTCACTTGGACTTAGTAGAGCTCAGATACCATTCAGAAAATAATTAGTCACAGAGTTAATGATTTTTATGTCAGTTGGTCAGTATGTACCAGACATTGCTCTAGGTGCTTGGGATAGATCAGTGCAAGAAAGCAGACAAAAATCCCTTCCATTGTGACAGAACATCCCTGCAGATCTCAAAATTAATTTGCATTTAATCTCCCAAACCCTACCAAGTGAGCTATAAGCATAGTAAATCATTACCTGTTATGTAAGTAAAATTTATGTCATTAATGTATTATTCTTTCTAAACCGGAAGCCAGGACTAATGTCCAACAATCTTAGCAATAGGTTCCTTTAAAATTGTGAAACTTGGGATGTAGGAAACACATTTGTATATGTGGAGTCATTTCTACGTGTATTGCATAGTCTCTTTTTAGGTAAAATTTATAAGAAGAAGTACATTTCCTCCTAGGTATGTAGGTAACAGATTTGTGCATGTACAATGTACAGATGACATTTTAACCATTTGTGGCATTTTTTCCAGAATGGGTAAAAAGGTAAAGAAGGAAGCAGAGCCCCCTCCCAAGGATGTGGTAAGTTTCTGATTTGAATACTAGCAGCATGTTAACCAGTTTTAAAAATAAATTGTTGAAACAGTTTGGCATGTACCAGTATATACATGAGTGCACAGTGGCAGAAGTCCAAAGTCTGACTAATGATAAGATTAGTCAGAGAAATCTAACATTATGTAAACAAACATTTACAACATTGTCATTACATAATTAGCACAATTAGAGAGTAATTATTAGCTTTTCCAGTATGTGGATGGCATGTTTATAAGCCTAGTTAATGAACAAATAGTTTGGGTTTCTTTTTTCAAATACTTTAAATTTACATTTGCCAGTCTCTCATTGATGTTAATTATCTAAGTGGATTTTTTAAAAATGAATGAAGGTAATGCTATAGCTACTAGGTATGTATGTAAGGTTGTCTTTAGATGACCATTTGGACATTAGAAGTCTTGTGTTTTCCAGTCCTATGGAGAAAAAAGTCTGTGTTCATCACCTTTTTCTCTTTCAAGTGCTCGAACAACACATTCCTCAAAACACAAATCTTTGTCTCTCCCTTTCAAAAGCAAGGTTCAACAAACTTAATGTCCAACAGGTTGGCAATTGGGATGAGGTGATCTTAGAAGATGTAAGATGGTTTAAAGTGGTCATGGTAAATAAGCATGTATTACACAAAAAATTATTTCCATAGCAGTAGTGATAACAAGTAAACAATTAGAAGTGACAAAATTGTTTTAAAATAAAAACTTAGTTAAATAAATTATTCCATTTTGATAAAATGATGTCACTTAATGTTTGATAGCATGGGAATGTGATCACAATATTTAAATTAAAAAGTTATAATAGGGACTGCCCTTGGTTCAGTGGCTAAGACTCCATGCTCCCAATGCACAGGACCCTGGGTTTCATGCCTGGTTAGGTAACTAGATCCCACATGCTGCAACTGAGAGTCACATGCTGCATCTAACCACATGCCACAACTAAGACCAGGCACAGTAAAAAAAAAAAAAAAAAAAGGCTATAATAAAAAAAAATTAAAGCAGGGTTCTATCATTTCTCTTTAAAGTTTATCAACTACCAAAAGATTGTGTTAAAAATGTCCTAGGACAATTTTCAATTTAAAATCTTATTTGGAACAGACATTTGGTGTGGTTTTCTTCAAATAAAAGGTGAATGGGGAGAAAAGTATGTATAGTCAATAGACTCAAAGATTTACAGCCTGAAGGAACCTGATGTTAATGCAGGAGTCTTCCCGACAACACTGGAACATTGTAGTTACAAATGTGAACTCTGTCCCAGGTCTGCCTCTCATAAAC